TGTTTGTACATTATATTGAAAATTAATTCAATAATAATAATAATGATATATTTTAAAATTACAGTAATAAGAATGAGATTTTGTTAAAAGGTAATTGTGCTTGATTATCTTGAAAACAATATCATAGGTTTTAAAATTGAAACAATACTGAATATTATTAAATGGTATCCAATACATTATATGTAGATTACACTTATTAATAATTAAATAATAATAATAATAGATATTTTTGGAATACAGTGAATTAGATTTTTTGTTGAAGGTAATTGTGCTTGACTATGCTGTACATAATATAAATATTTTAAAATATTTTATAATAATTAATAAAAGTAAATTATATTGAATACATTATGTTGATTATATTTAATAATAATAATAATTTTTCACATTACAGTAATGTGAATGAGATTTTTTCTTTTGGAAATAACTGCACTTCATTATCGTGAAGAAATAAATGATGTATAAATATTTCTAAATTTAAATAATAATAAATATAAATAAATAATATTGATTATATGCAAATTATATATACAAATAATAAAAGAACAGTAGTAATATTAATAATATTTTTTTTTACATTACAGTAATCAAAATGCAAATGTTTGTTTGGTGGGAATTGCGCTTGATTATGCTGAACAATGTCAGAATAAAAAAAAAAAGTCACATTTTTTAAAAATTAATTAAAAATAAAATAAAATAAAATAAAATGTATAAATAAATCTCTTCTCGTCTGTGTTTTGGTAAAAAGAAAATGTTTGTTTTCTGCTGCTGGCCCACCTGAGGTGGTGAGTGGAGAGTTTCTCCACCAGGGCAGTGGCGAGTCGTTCCCCCAGCACCAGCAGGAAGGTCACCACGATGTCATGGTAACCCTGATAATAGTGCAGCTGTGGGTTTTTCACCAGCACCCGCAGGATAATATCAGTCAGCTCCTCCTGAAGGCCTTCCCGCTGCTCGTCTGGCATCCCTGCGTCCGACAAACACCACAAACAAACAGAGAGCAGCTTAGACCCAGACGGAGAGCAGCTGCAGGTCAGAGGAAGCAGCGGAGATGGTTCTGCTCAGTGCTCACCTGGAGGGAAGCGTCGGAGGGATCTCTGAACATCTAGAAGCACTTGGTTGAAGTCCTTGTTATTGTCTCGATCGACCGGCTCTGGAAATAAACACTAGATTTACATCTAGTTATTTTTTTCCCCTTTATCAGCATAAATTAAAGCGCATATAATAAATATGTAAATAAAAGATGTAAAAATAATATTTTAAAATGTAAATAATAAATAATATAATTAAAGGATGTTTGATAAATTATATGTATATTATACATATTTATTTGGTATATTATTTTTTATTTATAACATTACAGTAATGGGAATGAGCAATTATGTATAATATGTATAAATATTTTACATTTTAAATAATAATATAATTAAATTATATTTAATAAATTATTTATAGATTAAATTTAATATTTGAATAATTATTTTTAATAATAATTATTATTATTATATTTTCCAAATTACAATAAAGAAAATGCGATTTCCTGTTGAATTTATTTAATAAATTATATGGAGGTTATATTTAAACAAATTAATATTTTTCACATTATAGTGATGAAAATGCATTTTTGTTCAAAGTAATTGATTATCGTCAAGTTAAAAGATATAAATATTAAATAACAAAATGAAATTCTATTACTAAATAATTTGTATTTGTATATTTGTATTTTATTTGATAATAATAATAATAATAATAACACTAATAATAATAATAAATTTTACACATTTCAGTGATAAGAACGAGTTTTTGCGCGAGGCAACTGCACTTGGTTATCTCAAACAAATAAAAGATGTATATTTAAAGAATTATTAAAATAATATACTTCAATTATAATTAATTGTAAGTAGATTATATTTAATAATTAAATAAGAATATTTTTTCACATCATAGTGATGAAAATTTGATATTTTTTGTTTGAGCTAACTGCACTTGATTATCTTGAACATAAATAAAAGATGTATAAATATTTGAAAAATTATTAAAATAATATAATTATGTTATAATTAATAAATTATAAGTAGATTGCATTTAATAATTAAATACGAATATTTTCTCGCATTATAGAGATGATTTTTTGTTGAAGGTTTTTGTTGAAGTTGTGATTGATTACCTTGAACATGAATTAAAGATGTTAATATTGAAAATATGAAAATATTTTGAAAATGTAATCATATTTAATGCAATTAATCATATTTAATAATTATACAACGACTACATTTAATAATCATTAAATAATAATAATACTTTTTTCACATTACAGTGATGAGAATGAGACTTTTTGTTGTAGGAAACTGCATTAAATTATATATATTTTTTAATGTGTTTATTTTCCAGAAAGTGAGCTTCCTTTGATTTCGATCGCTCTCACCTAGTTGCTCAGGTATGTTTTCCACAGACACGTTGAGCAGTCTGGGCCACACCTGGCGGCGGATCTCGTCGTTCAGCAGACCTCCTTCACTGATGGCCATGCGTCTCAGAGCGGCCACATCCGCGGGCGTCGAGTTCAGCGCCTGCGAGATCTCCGCCATCTTCCTCTTCCGTCTGGACTCAGCATCTGTCAACATGACGAGCGCGCTCAGCACCTGAACACTGCACTATCACGGGCTACATGCGCTTCGGCAGAAACGTTCACTGGAAAGGGAGAAGTTGACTAAGATCTTTCACCTTTCCCCTTCATTTGCGCAAGTATTTCTTTTAAAACAGCTGTTCCCAGAGGAATGGCACGTTTAAAAGGCTTGATATTGTTTTGAAATGGAACTATTTTTGTCTGGCACACAAACATCATACAGTCACGTCCCAAACATCTGACGCAGTTCGTGTTAGTACTGTAACAGATTTACAGTACATAATGAGTGCACAGATATCTTATGCACAATAAATCCTTCAAAAATGTTATGAAGAGTGTTTAAGATATGAAATAATGAGCAGCACACCTTTAGATGCAAAAAATAATTCACAGGACACTCCCACAGAAATAATTAAAAGGATTATGAGGCAGAAATTAATTATTCTCACACCCGGGGAAAAAAAGTATACACATGCATAATTGTATCATTTATATATTTATATATAATTTATATTAATGTAATAATTGTTTTTTTTTTACATTAATCTATCTATCCACACAGAAAGATATTAATTTATATACATTTATTCATTTCTAAAATCCCCAAAATGTTTGTATAACTAAATTATATATAATATAATGAATATATAAATCAATACATAGAATGTATATATAAATCTATTTGAATATATAGACATAAATTACACACACAATATATATATATATAGCTCGATAGATACATCTAAACATATTTTCAGTATTTTAAGTGTGTATATATATATATATACACACACACACACACACACATATATATAGATATATAAATTATACATGTGTGCAGAAAGTCAGATATTATGTTGTTTGTGTGTGTGTGTGTGTGTATATATATATATACACACACACACACACACACATATATATAGATATATAAATTATACATGTGTGCAGAAAGTCAGATATTATGTTGTTTGTGTGTGTGTGTGTGTGTATATATATATATATACACACAAACACACATATATTTATAGCACGATATAGATATTAATTTCTATACATTATACATTTATTTCTATACATTTATTAATTTCTAAAATCCCCTAAATAAATAGAATACTGTGTGTGTATATATTTATATATATACTGTAAATATTCTCTATCTATCTATCTATATAAATCTATACAAATATATAGCTAAATACATAATACATTATGTGATTGTGTGCGCACGCGCACACACACACACACACACAATACTGAAAATATTCTTAAATTATCTATCTAGCAGTAAACAAAGTATAGTATGTAAGTATGTGTTAACATATGTGTACTTATTATATTTATATATATTGTATCTTCTTATATAAGTTATTTGTAACTTCTTATGTTATATCTGTTAACATACAGCACAAATTAAAACCCCTTATTTCAATCCTATAAAGCGTCTACCAAACTCTAAATTTACTTTAGTAAAAGCTGTAATATTTAATCGAGCACTGACTTATCGGCCGTTAAAGTGAAGCAGTAACGTTAGTCTAAATCTCCCATCATGTTCTAAATGAACTCCTCAATAAAACGCACCTTGTTTTCCGAAACCGTTGAGCGGAGAAGAAGCTCCGAGACTCCGAGACTTCCTCAGATTCATTCTGTCATTAAAGTCCGTCGCTTTCCGCGGCTTCAGATCCAGCTACATCGCTTTATCTCCCTGAGAGGCGAACAGCTGATGGGCTTCTACTTTAGCCCGACAGCTAAAGGCCACATCTTCTCCTTCAGGCCCGCGTAAGCTGGATAAACTTGTGGCACATAAACAGCATCGGTCTCTTTCACTCATGACACGCGCTTTAACTTATATCAGTGTGTTCCGCCGAACCGAACCGAAGCGGCGTCTCTGCGTCTCTGCGCATCTTTTGTGTCATTTCATGGGAAGCGCTTCAGAAGCTCCAGCTGTAGTATCATCTGGGTTGGTGTTTACGTGTGAGTGAAGGATTCTGGGAGTTGTAAGTTTCATTGGCTCACGAAAAAGGCGGTGTCTTAGCAACCCTTCAAAATAAAGGTCACCATAAAAAAACACAGTAAACACGTAAAAAGTATTAAAAATAGTGCTGTCAAACGATTAATCGCATCCAAAATAAAAGTTTTTGTTTACATAATGTGTGTGTACTGTGTATATTTATTATGTATATATAAATACACACACATGTATATATTTAAGAAAAATATGTTATGCTTATATATTAAATATGTTTATATATACTATACATTTTATTAATATAAATATATACATGTAAATACATGTAAATATGTTCACAATATACTGTATGAGCGTGTGTTTTTATATACATAATAAATATGCACAGTACAAACATATATTATGCAAACAAAATGTTTTATTTTGGATGCAATTAATCGAGATTAATCGTTTGACAGCACTAATTAAAACTAAACATACACACAAAAATAAACACATTAAACGTTAAAAAACAATTGTTTTTGTTGTACTGCCTTAGAAATTGGCTGTTGCAACCATGGTTGCTCCTATAAAAAGACATGCTCATTAAACACAAAAACACATTTCAGCTAAGTACAAATTTTGTGATTAAAATAAATAAAAAAAAGATAATTTTATCATTCAGTCAAGTGCAGTCGGTCAGTTGTTATCGCTCTGTGATATAAATATATATTTTTAATAGTTTAACTAAACGTTTATTTTGAAATATCGTTTTAAAATATCTTTGGTCGTACTGTCCCTCCGCGCTTTCCGTATGTTTTCGAGACGATTGTCATGTGAATCCAGCGACTGCCAAAACGTATGGAGAAAATTGACTTTATCAAATGAACATATTTTATTTTCGTTTACAATAAAAAGCCAAAATGCTCTCCCGTTTATTAAAAGAACACCAAGCGAAACAAAACGAAAGGAAAGAGTTACAAGGTTTGTGTTTCTATAGATCTCTACCGACTAAGTTTGCTCTGACAGGCCCTTTGATATATTAAATGTAAAGATAAAGACGCATCTTAATATTTGTCTGGTAAATGTATTAAGACAAGATGGAGTTGATATATTGTTATAAGTAATAAAATTCGTTATTCATTTTCATTCGAGTCGCAAATTCTGTTTTTAGTAGGAAATTAGTAGGCTAATTTCCTTAATTTAGTCACTGACATTGCTTGTGTTTTATGTAAGACTACAGAAATAAGTAAATTATTCTTACAATTAATTAATTTAACTGTAAACGAATAAATTATTATCAAGCAAAGATTGAAAAATGGTGTACACACATAATATATGTATTTCATTACTTGAAATTTTCTGTCAACCACCCAAAACAAAACAAAATCAAGTGATATGAAATAATTGCTTTTTCTTGATAAAATGCTTCAATACGGTACAGAAAGACGAAGACGAGAGGCCATAGCAGCTGCAACATGTTTAACGGAAGCCCTGGTGGATCATCTCAATGTAGGGTGAGTCGGATAGTTTTATATGTTTGTAAAGGTGCACACAGGATTATATGGTCAGTTCATGTGATCACTGTGGTCATAATCCCAGTCTTTGTGTGGACATTATGATGAAATTCTGTGAAAGCAGCTTAAGTTGCATGGTTGGATGCAACAGAGAATTGTTCTTGCAACAGACAAATTTATGCAAACAGAATAGTTCACCCAAAAATTCAAATTTGCTGAACATCTCACCCTCAGGCTGTCCAAGATGTAGATGAGTTTGTTTCTTCATCAGAACAGATTTGGAGAAATGTATCACTTGCTCACCAATGGATCCTCTGCAGTGAATGGGTGCCGTCAGAATGAGAGTCCAAACAGCTGATTAAAAACATCACAATAATCCACTCCAGTCAGTCAATTAACATCTTGTGAAGTGAAAAGCTGTGCATTTGTAAGAATTTGTTTTGCTTTTAATTAACACATTTTTAGCTTTAAACCATTGCTTCTGGCCAAAATACTAGTCCTCTATCCATAATATTGCTTTCTCCCGTGATAAAGTTGTCTGGTCTGAATCAGGAGAGAAATCTGCACAGATCAAGCACCGTTTACAAGCAAAAACAGTTCTAAACAAATATGTCAGTGGATTTTGATGTGAGAGGAGGTGAGATTTTTCAGTGGAGAAAGCAATATTATGGATTATGGACTCGTATTTTGGCAAGAAGCGATGGTTTGAAGTCAAAGCATCTAAATGATATTTTTGTTTCTTAGAACCACACAGCTTTTCACAAGATATTCATTGATGGACTGATGTTGTGTTGATTACTTGTGGATTATTGTGATGTTTTTATCAGCTGTTTGGACTCTCGTTCTGATGGCACCCATTCACTGCAGAGGATCCATTGGTGAGCAAGTGATGTAATGCTACATTTCTCCAAATCTGATGAAGAAACAAACCCATCTATATTTTGGATGGCCTGAGGGTGAGTACATTTTGAGATTTTCATTTTGGGTGAACTATTCCTTTAAGACATTGTAATGTATAAGTATCTCGGTTCAGGGTGGCGCAGGCGTACATAAACCAGCGCAAGCTGGACAATGAGGTGAAGACGCTGCAGGTTCAGGCCAGTCAGTTTGCCAAGCAGACGGCCCAGTGGATCAACATGGTTGAGAACTTCAACCAGGCCTTAAAAGTACGCAATCTCTTTTATATATTGACTCATGTGCGAATTTAGTGTTGCAATTGGTGAACTGTGCAGATTTAATGGCAGATTATTCCTGTACAGGAAATCGGAGACGTGGAGAACTGGGCGCGGAGTATCGAGATGGACATGCGGACGATCACGACAGCTCTGGAGTATATGCACAAAGGCCCGGTTCAGCCTACGTCCTCATGAGTGGATGGATTCTGATGCTCCAAAATGGACAGAAACGCAGAGGCTTTTCCTCCAAATGTTGGTGAAACTTCGACACTGTTACTTATTCCAGTAAAAAATTGCTGGAACAGCTGTTTATTTCTGATTTGGTTAATTTTTATTTTACATAATATGCTTGAATAATAAAAAATATCTATAGTGCTATAACTGCTGCGGTGGAGCATTTTACATCACATTTTACCCCCAAAAGTTCACTTGTTCACCTGCACAGACATACTGTCCTGCTTCTTACTTCATACAAACTGTTTTGACCAACATTTCACAAGTGTTTTCCCCAGAAAGCCTCAGAAATGAACATAGTACCAGGATTACACATTTTTCCTGCCCCTTTTTAGCTTTTATAGACGTAACAGTGAGCTAAAATAGATTTTATACGTTTTTGTGGGATTTCACAGTTTGTTAATTTTTACTGAACCCACGTTAAGCTGTGCACGCACTGTGACGCTACATAATCCACATTTACAACAAGGGCTTTCAGCCTCAGGATTAACATAAGGAGAAGGAGTAAAATGTAAAACTAAGAAAATGAAAAGCAAGAGCAGAATGTGGCTGGTTTAAATCCAGATTTTACATGTTTGCCCCATGGGACTGCATATAAGATGATTTTTAGCTTGATTTTGCAGTTTTAGGTCTTCAAGACCATTTTTACCATTTTTGAAACTCGAGACCCACAAACATGTGAATCCACACATGGTGTCGCAGATGGATGAGAATCCAATTCAGAATTAAATTCAGTTCCCATTCAGAAAAAATGCATAACATCAATTGCTCAAAGATGAATCTAAGAGTGAGAGATGTATACCTGACAGCAGGGAGACACACAGCAGCACGTGGAGACAGAGCTCCAGAGACTCGCGCACACACAGTGTGTGGGGGTTTTCTGGTTACAGAATCCCCAAATGACTATAATGCCACTTTGTTTATATATCCAGACCAGAACAAAGAAATCTTCAAATCAGTTGTATTAATTCTAACACGATCATCAGACATAAACCAGCATCAAAACTGTGTAAAGTTGATGTAATGTCGACCAATGAAGAGGTAATAATGACTGTCAAGCTTTGGGTTGTTGATCGACTCTATCTATGTTTTGATTATTGTTCTGAATCCGATTCATAGTCTTTTTTTCAGCTTTTTGTTCAAAATGTTGTTTATTTATTTTAAAACATTTTTTTATGAAACTTACCCACATTCAAGTGTTTAAAAAAGAATGCATGAAGCTAGAATAAAATGTTTTTGTTTACAAGCAGATACCCTGTTCTTTTGATGTTTTGTATGTTCAGATATTCATATAACAAAATATATACAAATTAATACCTAAATAGGGACATAGTAGTATACTTAAAGTATGATGTAAAGTTCACTTAAAGAAAACTTACGAGTATACTTGCAGTATAAAACTACTAAACTAGTAGTTTACTAAGACTATACTTCAAAGTGTACTAAAAATGCTACTACAAGTATTTAATTAGAAAACTATCAGTATTCATATAAGTTCACTTTTAGTATAGTTGCAGTACAAGCTAAAAATGTTGTAAACTAGTTGTGTACTTAAAGTTTACTACTGTTATACTTAAAGTATACTTAAAAGTATACTTTTATATACTAGAAAGTGGGCCAATTTAGTCCCAAGGAGTATTGAAATAGTACACTTACAAGTATATACTAGTACACTTATATTTGTATACTTGCTACATAAAGTATACTTAAAAATATACTTGAACTTTACTTAAGTATACTTAATAAAATAAACTTGAAGTACACTACTTTTTGGTAAGGGGTTCTCCCTGACCTTAAGCTATTCTTATCAAAAGTCGCGCCCGAGAGAATTCAATAGATCGATTATCTCTTGATCGACTGTACTCATATTTTACAATATAAATAAACATTAAATATATACATTTACTTCATATTTTGTACATTTATATTATTTAATGCTTTGGTAGCCTATCTTTTTTTCCAGCTAGGGTAAAAGTTGTCAGAAGACGAGTTAAAGTACAGAGCTTCTCTCTTTTCTTTTCTTTTTTTTTTTACCTCAGTAGATCGTTTGAATGAAACACTTGTCGTAGACATGAACAAGCTTATAAACATTTCAAAACGTGCTGTCTAACGTCGTGGCATGAAGTCACTTCTCCCCTCGATGTTTTAACAGTGAAAGTTATCCAGTAATCTGTGACAGTGAGTGAACTTGACCTCAGTGTTGATAAAGTGCCTCAGGCGCTGACTGGATTCCACGCGCACCTGTTGACGCGACTCAAAACAAACCAGCCGCGCGAGACTCTGGAGACCGTTATTTGCGACACGGAATAGTTTAAATCCCCCTTTCAACACTTAAAACTTTAGATTTTGTCTCATGAGATACTGGAAAATGATCTCTTTCAGGACCCTACGACTGACTAATGTCGGAGTTATTGGCTTACTGGCGAAAGACATCGCAAAAAGCAGCTCAGCGTGTCAGAATGTGTCGCGGAGGTCGTTCAGTTTCTCTTCGCGGATTCACGCGAGTCAAGAATTTATCGCTCCTGCATCCGCGGATCAACCTAAATCGAAAAAGTGAGTCACTTGTAGAATAAATAAAATAGTATATAAAAATAGTGATGCATAATAAAATGTTTGATAAAAATGCTAATAAACTGAAATACCTGAAATACAATATGTTTGGTGTTAGCATGTGTCTAATTTTGTTTTATTAAAACAGACAAGAGACCAATAAAGGTCTGTTCTCTGGACTAGAGGACATGCTTTTCTACACTATAACTGAAGGAGCAGAGAAAGTTCCTGTGTCTCATTTCATTGCTGTGAGTTTTTACCTTTTAATTTACATATAAACACATAATCATATACACAAAAGTTTTAACTAGATTTTAAAATCTTTGCACTAGCAGTTTTCCAAGTCTGCTAACTGTATAATATCACTGTATATGGGCAACAGCTGGGAGCTGCTACATTTATTTAGTTGCATGCTATGGGCTCAGTTACTATCAACCCCCTACATGTTTCCTGAAATCTGATTCGTTCATGGGAAGTCTGGGCCAAAACACACAAACATTTATCCAGACTTTGTGGAACTGGTTTGTGTCATCAGTTATGTAATCATTTATAAGGAAAGTCAATAAAGAGTATAATATAAATGAGATGTATTTTTTTAATTGGAAAAAAAAAATCTTACACAGTTTTCCAGCATAGATTTTATTTTGTTTATGTTTGATTATTGTTATGTTTATTCATAGTCTTGTTTTGTTTACATTTATATACATTAGTGTTTAATGTTTGTGCAACAAATGCATTGCACAGTGGCATCACATAAAGTAAACTTAATGATTGTGAAAAGACAGAACAGTATTTTTCCCATCTTACAGGCAGTAAAAAGCACCGGCCTTCTGACCTCTGACCCCAGATTGCGCGACTGCATGGAAAAGATTCGCAAAGCTGTCCAGGAATCAGCCGGTGAAGTCATGATGGACCGTGAGCTGTTCCGAAAGTGAGTATTCGGTGAGGTCAGACAATACAGATTTGCAAACGTCCTGCAGAAAAGCAATATTTGGTAGTTTACTAATTGCGAAAATTTTTAATATCGTGACAGGTGTGTGGGTGGCAACATAGTTCTGCTGAGTCTCGCTTTCAGAGGGAAGTTTTGCGCGACTGCATGGAAAACATTCGCAAAGCTGTCCAGGAATCAGCCGGTGAAGTCATGATGGACCGTGAGCTGTTCCGAAAATGAGTATTCGGTGAGGTCAGACAATACAGATTTGCAAACGTCCTGCAGAAAAGCAATATTTGGTAGTTTACTAATTGCGAAAATTTTTAATATCGTGACAGGTGTGTGGGTGGCAACATAGTTCTGCTGAGTCTCGCTTTCAGAGGGAAGTTTATCATTCCAGAATTTGAGGCATTTGTGGGTGTCATAAATGATATTTACGACACATCAAAACTGCAACATGATGGACAGGTAGGGATGTTTTTAATCCATTTCCCTCACTTATTTGTATAGCTACCTATATAATCTTTTTTTAGGTTGCAAAATACATTCCCCATCTGACCAAGTTTAGTCCTGATCTTTGGGGTGTTTCTCTCTGCACAGTGGATGGACAAAGGTGAATATATAAATATGACACCAGCTTTTCTAAAATATGAAATTATGGGTTTTAAATCACCTCTTTGATTTCAGGCACTCAGTGGGAGACACAAAGGTGCCGTTCTGCTTGCAGTCGTGCGTAAAGCCGCTTGAATACGCCATCGCTGTACACGAACACGGCACGGAGCGTGTTCACCACTACGTCGGGAAGGAGCCCAGCGGATTCAAATTCAACAAACTCTCCCTAGATGAAGAAAGTGGGTGGGAAAATGTCATAGATTGTCATTATCAAATGAGTTATCTAGAATATCTTATTTGTTTTTGCTAGACAGAACTTTTCTGTACTGAGAATAATCTCATTAGAAGGAAATGATCAAAATAAATTGATTATTATAATATATTTAAAGATCAATAATTATTACAAAAATAACAATAATTTAATTAATTAATTAAACTGACTGGTTTTCTGTTCTTAGATAAACCTCACAATCCCATGGTCAATGCTGGAGCAATTGTCATCAGTTCACTTATCAAGGTAAACAAATACAAAAAAATAATATTTTTTTGGGAAATTGTATATAAATATTTTCTGCTGATTTTTTTGGTGTCAGGTAGGTTTACTGTTAACAGTATTTGCTTGTTTGTCTGATAATCAGCTCTGCACGACTCCCAAACAAACAATGATATACGCACATGTATTGACATGCAGACAGGACCAAGAATGAATTTGATCTAACAAACCTTTTACCCAGAATTCAGCTCTGTGTGGACAGACCCAGTGCATCTGCTACACGTGTAACAGACTGACCTTGTGAAGCTATGAGTAGGAGCATTACTGGTCTGGACTAAATCCAGTCTATTAAAAGTGCCCTTTACACTAGATGTATGTGACTTGTGCTTTCTAGGTTCCCTGAGTTTTCAGTACAATATAGAAAACATAAAATTCATGAGTTTTGATGAAATCTTACTGTTGTTTTTCTACAGCCAGGTGTCAACAAGGCCGAGAAGTTTGACTATGTAAGTTATAACCTGTTGAATATAGCCATTTAAAAAACAAAAAAAGATAAATCAACCTTAATGTTGTTCCGAACTTCTATGATTATTTATTCCTTTAATGCGGCAAAAAGTAGATAATTAGCAAAATGAAAGTAAGGCTATTAAACTCCAAAAGGATAAAGAAGTAGTGCATACGGCTTTTCAGCTATATTACAAAGTCATACAGTAGCTTTGTTTTAGATAAAGACTGAAATTATTGTTATTCCTTGAAAATATAGTCTTTTTAGGCATCTATAAAGTGTATGTTCTATAAAATGACTTTTTATTGGCTGTTTTCTATAGCAAGTCTACGAAGAAAATAATTTTGTTGAGTCTGTTTTGCAGGTGATGGAGTTTGTGAAGAAAATGACAGGCAGGGAGTATGTGGGCTTCAGCAACGCAACGTACGTTTTTCACTTTATCATTTTACACGTTTTTGCACCCAATTTCATTGCTTTTGACTTAAGTTAAATTTTCGTTTCACCAGGTTCCAGTCTGAGAAGGAGACAGGAGACAGAAACTACGCAATAGGATACTACCTAAAAGAGAAGAAAGTTTGTACTTTCGCATGTTTTATAAAAGCAAACTAGAAAGACGTTGTTTATTCTATGCAAACGCAACTATGACGTCCTTCTTTACAGTGTTTTCCTGTAGGGGCGGATATGATAAATGCACTGGACTTTTATTTCCAGGTAGGTCCAGTTGACATTTTTTCACTGTTAAATCAAAGATTTAATACTTCTGGCAATCCCATCAGAATTTCCTTTCTGTCCCTCAAAGTTGTGCGCCATAGAGGTCACGTGCGAGTCTGGCAGTGTAATGGCCGCCACACTGGCTAACGGAGGCATCTGTCCAATCACAGGAGAGAGAGTTCTGAGCACAGAAGCCATACGAAACACGCTGAGTCTCATGCACTCCTGCGGGATGTACGACTACTCGGGACAGTTCGCTTTCCATGTGCGTAAAAGGATTGTTTCTACACTGTTTATATTGTATGACTTTCAATCCAGTAAGCTTATTTTTAAAATAATTTTTATTAAAAAATAGCTTATTTAAAAGGAAATTTAAGAGTGCAATCTGTTAAGATTTTGTGCAGCCACTAGTTATTATATGACTTTCAATCTAGACAATGTATTTTAAAAACTTATTAAAAACATTACTTATTTAAACATAAATTTAAGTGCAGTCTTTTGAGGTCATACATATGTTATACAGGAGAGCTTTGAAAACTTCTAAGCAATATGATATTGAGGACTTTTCTGGTTGCTTCTTGTAACAAATTGTAATTAATTTTGTCGTACTGACACTTGTCATAGTAACAAACCATATGACTTTATATACCAATACATGTCAGGTTGGATTACCTGCTAAATCTGGTGTGTCTGGTGCTGTTCTTCTGGTGGTGCCGAACGTGATGGGTGTCATGTGTTGGTCGCCCCCCGTGGACAAAGTTGGGAACAGCGTCCGTGGAATTTGCTTCTGTCAGGTGCTTCTGCCATCATCCTGTTGGTTTTACACCCTCTTTTTAATTCCACACCATAAATTTAGTCTAAATAACTAATTTTGTAACCCTTCCATAATTAGGAACTGGTGTCTTTGTTCAACTTCCACAATTATGACAATCTGAGGCACTTTCTGAAGAAGCAGGACCCTCGCAGACAGTCTGGTGATGACAGGGTAAATCTAAAATTAGAAAAACAGCTTTCACATCAACCAATTTTAAACACCAAAAGTTGCGAAAATACCCTACATGAAGCAATTTTTTAGACTGATTATTAGTTCCAGCAATTAATGCACCAAATCTGTTCTTTTCTTAGAATAAATCGGTGGTGAATCTGATGTTTGCAGCCCACAGTGGAGATGTCTCAGCTCTGAGAAGGTAATTTTATATACTTCACAATGTCTTTATTACTCCAAATTTTTGAGTGCTACTGAAATATAAACTACTTACTGCCCTCTTTTGTTCCTCAGGTTTGCCCTTTCATCTATGGATATGGAGCTGAAGGACTACGACTCTCGTACACCACTTCACATAGCTGCTGCAGAGGGTAGAATCATTCGGTCCCAAACATGATTTGTTAATCATAAACGTAATTTGCCGTCTATGTCTTCTCTGTTTTAGGTCACATGGATGTTGTGCTATTTCTGACACAGTCCTGCAAAGTAAACCCTTTTGTGAAAGACCGGTACAGAGCCGTTTCTTTACACGTTTACCTTCAGCTTTACCCAGTTGGTGATAACTGACCTCATATCTCTTATTCAGGTGGGGAAATATTCCTCGGGATGATGCCATGCAGTTCGGCCATGAGGATGTGGTGAAGGTCTTGGAAGAATATGAGCTAAACTACAGTCTGCAAACATCTCAGACTGACACAGAAGACCATAGTCATCAATCCAAATGTTCATCTCTGGAGGGATGAGTGTAATCTGCTGTGAATTTAACCAACTTAAGGACTATAGATCATGTCATCAGATATTGTGAAAATAAGGGCACTTATATGGAAATGTCTCTGGACAGAGATAAAAAGCTAATTTTTTTATTTTGATGTGTAAATATGAAATATTTGTACATAATTTGTGTTATATATTGTAGTTTGACATATCCTCTTAGAAACTGCCTTGGTTATACAGTGTAGAGTGTACAGTATTTGTGACTAATAAACAAAACCAACCATGCCAACAGAATCTTATGCTGATAAGATTCTCTTACAGATTCTTATTATGTATCCACACTATAGATTTTTAAAAAGAGGTTATAATAAGGCCTTCTATATGTAAAGCATAAATCTATAACACAACAACAATCTAGAACAGCCTCGCAACCACAAAAAGTATACAAATAAATATATAAATAAATCAAACCAGATTCAGAAGACCTTAGTAACTGCATAGTAGCGCTATTATGACGACAAATGTTGCTGAGCAGCCTGTATTTTAGTACATCATCAAGGTGGATCTGATTAAAACAGATCTATTGATATAGCCTAGGCCTAGTACACTTGCATCTGTAAATGAAACGTGCACTATCCCTTACCAAAAAGTAGTATACTTCAAGTTTATTTGATTAAGTATACTTAAGTATATTTTTTAAGTATACTTTATGTAGTAAGTATACAAATATCAGTGTACTAGTAGTATACTTGTAAGTGTACTATTTCAATACTCCTTGGGACTAAATTGGCCCACTTTCTAGTATATAAAAGTATACTTTTAATTATACTTTAAGTATAACAGTAGTAAACTTTGAGTACACAACTAGTTTACATATTTTTTTTTAGCTTGTACTGCAACTATACTAAAAGTGAACTTCTAGGTATAGTGATAGTTTACTAATTAAATACTTGTAGTAGCATTTTTAGTACAATTTGAAGTACAGTCTCAGTAAACTACTAGTTTAGTAGTTTTATACTGCAAGTGTACTCGTAAGTTTTCTTTAAGTGAACTTTACATCATACTTTAAGTATACTACTATGTCCCTATTTAGGTATTAATTTGTATATATTTTGTTACATGAATATCTGAACATACAAAACATCAAAAGAACAGGGTATCTGCTTGTAAACAAAAACATTTTATTTTTAGTTTAAAAGAAGTATACTAATAGCTCACTTGAATAAACTTCTTTTTCGTAAGGGATAGCACGTACACCCTTCTGCCTCAAAGATTAGACATAAGTTGTGGCTATCAGAAACTGTAACAGAGGTGTCAGCCTTTAAACATTTGTTCTTACCTTACCTAACATTTTGTTCCTACCTGATTATTTACATTATTCAGTAGTTGCAGTGTATAATTACCTTAGAACACTATCTTGAGAAGAAAACGTCCTGCTAAACGGATAAAAAGACGCACTGGCTGGAGTTAGTGGTGTTTCGTTCGAGAACGAATCACTGTTGTTGAATGAATCTCAAAAGTGAACGAATCGTTCTGATTCTGAACTAATTCATATTTTTTGTTTATTTAAATCCCTTACTCACTTACCGCCATCTACTAGAGCAATTACATGATCTCTATAACATGAAGTGGAGAAGGGTCTTGTGGACAGAAGGTAGGCCTACGTGAGAGAGCTCTAACCACAGTGGTGCAGAAGTTCTTCGGCCTTGCACGCACTTAGAAACCTCTCACGAATCATCTTGTGCCCACAATGCCCATGCACACTTTTGTGCTTAGCAACAAAAATAAGTCTGATGCTTTTTTGTAGTCTGGTCCCTGTTGAAAAAAACAGCATATGCTGGTTAGGTATGTTTTGATGCTGGAATGCTGGTTTAAGCTGGTCCTTTGCTGGTTTATGCTGGTCCTTTTGCTGGTTTATGCTGGTCATGTGCTGGCAAAGGACCAGCATAAACCAGCAAAAGGACCATTTAGGACCAAAAGGACCTTTAACAGGGGTGTGGCAAGTATTAGGTATTTCCTTCACAATTTAGGAATATTTTTAAATGTATTAATCACTCAGACTAAGCTGCAAAGTGTTATTTTAACAACATGAGAAAGAGATGTTTAAAAGGAGCATCAGCGACCTGAGGCTACATTCAACCAAAAAATCTTGATGCAAAAAATCCAATATAAAGTCTATTTTGGTCAACTCTGACTGATACTTCCTCATAACAATATGAGCGGTAATTGGCTGAATCGTCACCACATGCTCTGTTTGTGAACTGAAACCACAGTCACACCAGTCACTCTTCTAAAATGATCACATATATGTTGCGTCTAGTCTTGCTCTTCATTTGTGTTGAAGGTAAGATTTGTATTGCTACTTATTTGATTCATGTGTTTTTGTAAATGTTTGGTGGGATTTTTTAATCTTTTCAGAGGTTTTCAAAGAGTCACTGAGCATCAGTGATTGTCACTAGCTCAATAATCCAATATCAGTTTGCCTGTTTGACTGATATGTGCCAAAACACATATTGGTTAACTCTAATTGAATAAAACTCATCTAATCATTATAGAGACATTCATGGGCCAATAACCAACAATGGAAACCGCATCATGCCATGTGCTAAATGTTTAAAACATAAATATGCTAAATAATACATTTTGTTTTTAAGGTTTTTCAAGATCTCTCAGCCAAAGATGTTCTTATGAATGTGTTTCAGGTGTGTTTGCTGGTGATACAGATGTAATGAAGTCAGTATCAGTGACTGAGGGAGATTCTGTCACTCTAAACACTGATGTTACTAAAGTACAGAGAGATGATCAGATACTGTGGATGTTTGGACCTAAAGAAACTCGTATAGCTGAAATCTATAAACACAGCATTGATATGTTTAGCAGTAATGGGACATTTGGAGACAGACTGCAGCTGGACTCTTTCACTGGATCTCTGACCATCAGAAACATCAGAAGCACAGACTCTGGACTTTATAAACGACAGATCCGGAGCGACAGAGGGAACTCGGACAAGACATTCAATGTTACTGTCTATGGTAAGACAAATATGACTTAGAATATGTATAAATGGATATGAAGCTTATTATTGGACTGGTAATGAATCAGGAATATGACAGCTCTAAAAATGAAGGTTTGTTAAAAGTTTTATGCATTTCCTAACCATTTGATTCTTTCGCCCAATAAACTATAAACCATTGCCCTTTCTTAATACTGAATGAATTCATCTTTTTTAAAAACGAATATTTAATGCAGCCTTTATTATGTATGCTGTTTTTCTGTTTTTGTAATGTGAACTTAATCCATGGTGATAATGTTGTGTAGCTCAATTCTGATTTCCATGTTTTGGATATTTTGATTATTGCTCTGTTTCATCTGCATTTGGATCATGCTGTCCCTAATGTCTGAGTTTGCCCACATTCCAAAAATATGCTTATTTAATTTACATGTTTCTCAGCTCGTCTGCCTGTTCCTGTCATCACCAGAAACTCTTCAAACTGTTTTTCATCATCATCATCATCATCATCATCA